CCACAGTCTAGAAAGACCAGGAAGCAGACTCTCCTTTAGAGACCTGAAGGAATGCAGCCCTGCCCACACCTGGGCCAGCGAGGCCCTTTCAGACTCGACCTCCATAACTGTGACGTAACACAGCTGTGCTGCTCCAAACCACCAAGTTTGTAGTAATTTACTACAGAACAAATAGGAAACCAATGCAATTGCTGAGAAGGGGATTAGTGGTTGTCAGCAGAGGGGGAGTTCAGCTATGAACATATTGTGCGGAAGCCCATGGTGACAATTTGCTCTTAGTTTCCTCCTATTCTGATTACATCAGTAGACATTCCTGAAAAATTTTGATGGAACAAGTTTTCCCAAACTTTAGAAATATTCTACTGCTCATTTCAATAGCAAAATGGAATTGGGGCTGTGTTAAGGTATTTGTGCTTCAGTAGGCTTCACCCCCAAAATCTGTCAATGAAAGTTTGAAAAGAAGACTGAAACTGTGAGACAATTGAAGTGATTTTCTTGAATACCACTGTGTTACTTATGAAAATGGTAGGTGTAAATTATTCATTCATTCATTTAAGAAATTTATGTCAATTTCCCTGAGAATACAATAGCAGAAACCTCACCGTAATATGTTTGTAAAGCTTACACTCTACAAAACTTTACAAAAATCCTTAGGGCCATTCACTTGGAAAAATGCCAAACATTAGTGGAAGCAACTCCAGGGATGAACAGCCCAAATCCTCTATTTTGTAGATGACAAAAATGAGGCCTAAAGAGGTTAATTAAATGAGGTAAAGAGAAAAATGTATCCCCCATATCTATACCTATATCTTTACATAGTTAGTTTTATAGCCTCAGACAAATAATTAACCTAGAAGAGTGCCTTTTCCATAATACGGCACTAGGTTAAAATATTTGTCCCGGGTCATACAATGAATTCACGATGCAGGTAGGGCCAGAGCCTGAACTTCTCTTGAGATCATGGTGGAAATTTCTTCAATAGCATCCATAGGGTCAGAACCTCGGGGCCAGCCTCTTAGTGCAGCGTCCTCAGTTTAACAGAAAACATTCCGTCTCAGAGATGTTAAGGATGCAGCTTAAAGCAGAAATAAGCAGTCCTTCCAGGTGACCTGGAGGGTAGAGGACAGAGAAACACAGAGAGGATGGCCTGTGGGGTCCTGAGATGTCCCTTGCTTTCCCTGGAAGGACAAACAGCAACGGAGGACTCTGCAGGCCGGTCAGGCCGGTGAAGCATGTGGAGCTGGTGCGCTCCACTGCGCAGCACTGAGCTCAGGCCACTCTGCTTCCCCAGCGCCTGCTCTGCATGTTCCTTGGCTTCTTTCAGCTGCGGCCCCAAGTCCTGGAGCCCCTGCACCTGAGCAGCCTGTCTGCTGGTTTCCCCTCCTCCCCCCCCCTCCTCCTCCCAGAAAGCCAAAGGGAAGTTCTCACGTTCCTCCCTAATCCACGTGCTGCTGCACCTCAGGACCCAGAGCTCAAGCTCATGGCACCAGCTCCTCATTCCGAGTCTCAGTCTGCTTTTGTGCCGAAAATGCAAGGTTTGCCATTTGGAGGGTCTTTTGGCACCGGAATCTCAAGAGCTTGATAGGATATTGGACGGGGCAGCAGAGAGTGTTGGTGAAACACGGCTCAGATTGTAGGTAGGGTTCCCAGAGAACATACAAAGTGCCTCATTCAATTTGGACTTCAGATAAAAGCATGCCCTCAATATCACAGTGCACTAAAATAATCGTTGTCTAACTGAAATTCAAATGTAACTGGGCCCCTGTATTTTTATTTGCTAAATTTGACAACCTCAAGTTTGTGGGGGATAGAGGCACGCTCATGCAGGCACCCGAGTCTGCCTTTGTGTGAGCTGTTTGAATGGGAGAAGGAAAAAAAGAGAAAGAAATGAATGCGAAACAATAGTTCTTTAGAAGCAAAATATGGCCCTCTCCCTCTCCTTTTGATCTCTGTGCATGGTGTGTGTGTGTGTGTGTGTGTGTGTGTGTGTGTACATACATACATATAAGTCCTTGTGTTTTGTTGACACGAGGACCATGGCATTGAGGAAAATTGTTGACAGTGATACCGATTACAGTATCTTGATTGACAAAACAAGAGTGAGACTATAAACAGTAAAAATGTAGTTAGTTTAAAACTAACGCTGTTTATTGCAGGCCTGCTTACCATAAGTACCCAGTGCCACAGAGCCCAATCACAATTTTGCTTCTCCCGATCTTTCTGTGTTTTCAGAGAACCATAAAATGTTACTAAGGCATCTGAGAAATCATCTAGTCCAACCTTGACATTTACAGACTAAATAACCAAGACTCAGAGAGAAGTGACCAATATAGAATCCGGCAGCTGAACAACATTAATAATAGAACAATATTTTTTGAAGGTTTACTAAGCAACAGGCATTTTCCTTAGTGGTTTACTTATATAATCACATTTAATCATCACAACAACCCTATCGTTCTCATTATTCAAATGAGGCAAACCGAGGCAGAGGGAATCCTGTAGTTTATCTAAGGTTCAAGGCTAGGTCGCTAGTAAGTAAAGGCGCCCGCTAAAAATCCCAGCTAGTTTGGTTCTGGGCCCACACACTCAACCGCGAGACTGTGTGCCTCTCAGATAAGATGAGTTTATATCATTAAGCATGTTCATACATGGAGACTCTCACAGCTGCCTACTCCGGTGGCATGATTTTGTCCTGAATAACAAGGTCACTCGAATATCGAATATCGCTTCCAGGAAGCCGGCTGGATGCTGTTGCCACACGTGTCAACTTCAGAGTCAAAGTGGTTACCTGCTCACTTAAAACAAGCCCTAGAATACGGGGAGCCTTCTACGATCAGAGAGCAGATTAGTTTCATTTATTTTTTTGAACTAATTTTAATGAAATACGTAACATCAGGGTCTACTATCAAAGCAAACATTAGCAGTCTGAATTTTATGAGTTTACATTTTGAGTAGCTCATGAACGAAAAGAAGAGAAAAAGAAAAGAGAGGGAGAAGGAGAGAAATCAAAACAGAGAAGAAGCCTTCCTAATCCGTTGTTAGCCACAAAGTAAACCAAGTTCTCTCAGGCAGAGGCAGGCCCTTTTGTAAGCGTGCTGCCAGCCGGGCTTCTGCGGGGGTGCAGCTACAGTCATCATTATGTCCAGAGAGAATAGTCACCGTCCTCAACATGACATTTACTTAGTTTTACGTTCTGCCCGTTTTTCTCCTCCGTCTTGCAGATTATCAACCCCTTGCATCTCAGATGTTCAACCCACTCCGTCCGCGTCCAGACCCCAGCGACCCTGTTTATCACAGTAAGCATGCCCGTGTCTGCTTTGACACCATGTTTCCCAAAGCTACCCTGCCTGGGACTCAAAAGCCTGTGCAAGCTTTAAGGAAAAACGAGGCCACAATTGGAGTTCTCAGGCGCTCCAGGGGGTACCTGGGAGACACCAGGCCTCCACCGAGGCAGGCATTAGGAGCGGTGCAAACATCGCCTTCCCTCTGGTCTGCACTTTAGGAAGGAAACATCGCCTTCCCTCTGGTCTGCACTTTAGGAAGGAAGGGTTAGTCTGAGGAATCTGCTTTTGCTATTCTCTCCAGAACCTCACCAAACCCTTGAGACCCCTCCCCTGCCCCCCACAGGAACTGGCAAGGGTGCATTTGAAACGAATGTAACTTTTTGCAAAACAAATCTGCATCCTCTTTTCTTCAGAAAGGTGGCAGTGTTGCCTTGCGGTTTTGACCAAATTACAAAGCAGTGCCAATGTCTCTAGCGGATTAACACATCAACCACCTCACCTCTCCATGAGAAGGAAGGAAAGAAAGGATGTAACCACCGCTGAACCCCATGGCTGGCAGATGAGTTTATATCATTAAGCCTGGCACTGAGCATTTTGGTTGGCCAAGCTCCTGAGTTTTCATCTCATTTCAACAGCACAGAAACTAAGAAAATATCCAGTGGACCCCACAGATGCCTACAAGCCAGGAATCTCCAAGGAAGCCACAAAACCCCCTGCTTTTCCAGCATCCACTCTTCTCCTTGCTCACATATCCATCCCAAGTGATACACCGAATGGTCCTATTTAGAGGGCTAAGGAAAACTTAGCGAACCAGGCCAGCATCCTTCCGACACCTGCTCCACGGAATGTTCACATCGGCGTCCTCATACAATAATTCATCTTCTAAGTAAAAGTTCTGCCATTTGTTGAGTGGCTTATTACTGATTTACAAAACCAATATTTTACACAGAGTTATGGAGAAGAATTTAGGAAGGCAAGTGTCTGTGCCTGGTTCCACACTCATACCTTCCCTGGGCGCCTGGACCAACCCTTGTGAGCAGCGCTTAGAGTTCCCACCTCTCCCACTCACCTTGACTCAGCGTCCTGTGAGAAGTTTCTCCATGCGCCACTAACACAGATATTTGGGGGGAAAAAACTCTCCATTTATAAATATCGGATGGTTTGGGAAAAAATATTTGTGGCACTGGACTTTTTTTTCCCCTCTACAGTGATGTCATTTGAAATACTTGTTGTGCTCCAAATTGGCTATTTTTACTTCCCCCCAGTGACTTTTTTGGGAAATACATTTGTTTGGATTAGCTACGTTTTCAGTGATCCCTGTAATCTGATACACAGCATCAGGTTCATCTTCTCAGCAATGAGAACTCATGTTATGCAGCCACAAACTCGAGATGCCTCATTTGATCATTTTCAAACTTGTTCCTTTTGGATATCCTGCCAAAGTTTCTATTCACAGATACAGAGAAAAATAAATAAAAGGAAAAGACTGGCCTTTTCACAAACAAAAACCTCACTCAGCAACTCCAAGTACTTAAAACGGAAGACATTAAAGGCCCCCAAGGTCGAGTAACATTTTCACTTCCCAGTGTGCTTTTAGGGGACCAGGTTGAAGCAGCCGCGCGCGCGGGCTCTGAGACATGTACTGGAAAGCCCTGTAGAGCTGAGAAGTGCAGGAGAGGAAAGTTTAGGAAGGAACGCTGGATGCCTCAGCCCTACCTGATCTGAACTTGCTCCTAATCAGCAAAGAGTGCTCAGCCCCCAGGAGGGTCATGTTGAGTCTCAGCGCGCCGCTGGTCCCGTGGCCAGACGCCCCCTGTTTTCCACCAGGAACCGGCTCCCGGGAGCCCAGCTGCGCGCAGCTAGCAACCCAGAATTCATCCAGCTCTCCGGGAGCTCCCCTGGGTCGGAGGACAGTGGCCGCCAGGGACCGAAACCAGTGTCCCCAGAGCACTGGTGGCTCCCCCTCGCTGTGCGGGCTGTTAACTCCTAGGCGGCGGGACCCTCCTCCTCCTGCGTCTGGCCGGGAGCGGCGGCATCCCAGGCGTTCTCGGCTGATGTCATAGGCCGCCGGCGATCGAGGAGTATCACACCACGCCTTTATGAAGGTCCCACGTTTGCTATCTGATACTTTTTTACTACTGACAGGAGCTCGGCCAATCAGGAGCGGCGAGCGGGGACGAGGGACTAGGAGCAGCCAGAGGCGTCCCGGGAGCCGCTCTTAACTCTTTGCAGCGGGCCGAGCGGACGGAGGCGCGGCCCGGGTCCCACCCCGGCGAGGCGCAGAGGGAAGGGGCCGGGAGGACAGGAGGGAGGGCTCAGGGCTCCTGGGCTCACGGACGGCCACGGAGAGGGCCTGGGCCGGGGTTGTGGGGGGGGGGGGAGCCGCGGGGGCTCTCCGGCCGCCGGGCTTTGGGGCTGCGCCTGGGAGGCGGGCGCGGCGGGAACCAGCCGGGAGGGACGCGCGCCTGCGGGACTCGCTGCGCCCTGCGCTTCTCACATAAGCCGGGCCACTGGCAGAGAAGCAGGGCTCCCGACAGACTGAAGTCCCCACATTCTCTCCCCTTTGAGGGTCACAGGCACAGGCTTTACACATCTCGCAGCTCGAGGGTCAGACTTGGATGCACGTCCACGGAGAAAATGAAAAGCCTTTCGTTTTTCGGGGACCTGCGCTTTCTGGACAAACCTGACACCATCATCGGCTCACTCCTCGGGACACGGTGCTCGCCATCGGGGAGACGCACCAGTTGAACGCCCTTCTGTGCTCTCGGAGGGTGAGGTCCGAGGAAGGAAGGTACCTGGCGCAGGGGAGCGTCAGAGCTGGGGTTGGGAGCATGGAAAAGCTCAAGGGCGCTCCTAGGAGTGAGTCCCTCCTCAGGGCACAATCCGTTCCACACCAAAGACCCCCAGGTGTTCCAGGCTCATCAACAAATGACACACAGACCCTGCTCCCAAGAAGCGGCACAGAAAAATAAAACAAAAACAAAAACAAACAAAACACACTAAAACACACCCCAAACCCCGCAGACTACCTAAGTACATAAAGTTGGGTTGAATTTATTTGCAACCGTAGTGCACGCGGGGCCTCCAGGTTACACTGCGCCTGCCTAAGTCTCAGGAGACCCCAGGACCCTAACAGATCAGCTGGTGACAGATGGGGACCTGATGCCACGCCAACTCCTGGTACAGCGTTTACTGCCCGGAGTTTGGGCCTCTGCCCGAATTCCCTGACTCTGGAGTGCACGCGTTGGCTCTGACCAGCCTTCTGTATCAACAAGGTCTCTGGGAGAGAGAGACACCAGCCCCTGATAGTCGGAAGGCAGGGGAGGCAGACAAGCCCACCCATGTCCCTTGGGAGTGCGCCTGGCCCTGCAGCCCGTGCAGAGGCAACAGCCCCATACGGAGTGCACTGCTCTCAGTCCTGCCCTCACAGGCCTGGTGGCTCCAAACAGTGCGGGTTTGTTATTCTGCGGTTTGGAGGTTAGAAGTCGGACCTGGGTCCCAGCAGGCTGGAATCCAGGTGTTTGCAGAGCTGGGTCCCTCGGGAGGACCTAGGACAGTGGTTCTCAACTTTCTGGCCCTTTAAATACAGTTCCTCATGTTGTGATCCAACCATAAAATTATTTTCGTGGCTACTTCATAACTGTAATGTTGCTACTGTTATGAATCGTAATGTAAATATCTGATATGCAGGATGGTCTTAGGCGACCCCTGTGAAAGGGTCGTTCGACCGCCAAAGGGGTCGTGACCCACAGGTTGAGAACCGCTGACCTAGGAGAAAGTCATTTTCTCGCCTTCCAGCTTCTAGAGTCCGTCTGTGTCTTCTGTTCGATGCTCAACCAGCTGAGCCACACCAGCCAGGGCCCTTCCTCCACCTGCAAAGCCAGCAGCGGTGGGTCAAGTTCTCACCCTGCGCTATGGCTCCGACCTCTCTCTTTCCTCCCCCTGCGCTTTGAAGGCCCCTGTGTGTGACCCCAGTGCAGGGTCAGCTGATTATCAACCTTAACCCCTCCCATCTGTCACCTTATTCCCCTTTGCCACACACTTGAGCATCCTCACCGATTCCCGGGGTTAGGATGTAAACATGGGAAGTGGGGGCTTTGTTCTGCCTGCACACAGCATGGGACCCCTCTTGCTACCAGCATTCTGTCCTCAGTGGAGCCCCAGTTGCCTGGTCTTCCGTGAAAACAGGTCAAGTGGAGGGAGGTTTGGTGACAGGGAGGCACAGGAGCCTGAAGGAACCCTGCCAGCTAGGAGAGGGCCACGGCGGGGTGGGGGAGGGTACTCTGGGCGGGAGAGATGCCGGGATAAGGAACATTGCTAAATTATCTGAGTAGAGAGAAAAAAGCCTATTTTGAGCAACTTTAAAAACAAAAGAAAGCCAAGCAGATTTTTATCCTGAGGATTGTGGGGCCGAGAAGAAGGCAACTTGGCAGAGACCTGTTTTTTTTTTTAGTGAAAGTTGTGATAAAAACAGCTGAAGCCAGCATTGAACATAAGGGTCTGCATGACCTGGCTGAGTCGGACAGGAGTAAATTGTTTTTCCTCTGCAGGCCTGTGTGTGTGGGGGGGGGGGGGAAGGGGGCATAGTTTCTTTTCTGAGTGCGTTTGGGAAATGCTGGTAACTATAGCCCTCCTCAGTTTTCCCATCATGCTGTGGAGCTGCCCTCTGGGACTCATACCCCCGATGGCGGGGAATATCTATGTATATAAATATGCTCCTATAGGAGCTCATCCTTCTCTCTCTTTCTATGAAAGTATGTTTTTGTGGGAAAAACTTTCGTGGAACTGGACGAGGATGCTCCCCAGGGGGCAGCTTGCCTGCTGTGCTGTGGGAGCAGGGCAGACGCAGCAGCGTGCATCAGGCTCTGGCCTGCACTTTGATCACCTGGGCCGTCACCTCAGCAGCTCTTCCCTGCCTTGCTGCCCTCTGACCTCCTCTCTGAGGCCTAGAGGGAGCCGGGCGCGATGCAGAGGAGACACGGGAGCTCCTAGCATCAGGAAGAACATCATTCGAATCTGAGCTGCCCTGTGACCTGGAGTGGGTTTAAAGTCCTGCAGACACGCCGCACCTTCATGTAGAGTGGGCTTAGAACTGCTTTCAGAAGCGTGGGGAAGTGTCAATGAAGTAATACATGCGGAGTGCCCAGAGCAACTCTTCGTGGCGTGTTTAAACTGCTCTCTATGCCTTCTTTTCACCTCCAGCTATTCCTGCTGGCTCCAAGCAATGCTGACACCTTCTCTTTTGCTATGACTTTCCTTCCCTTTGCCATCAGTTATCTGTGGCTGCCTAAGAAACTGCCAGCTTAGAGCAGCACACACAGCCATCATCTGGCCGTTTCCATGGGTCAGGATTCTGGGCCTGACTTAGGCCCTTTGCTCAGATCTCACAGGCTGCAGTCCAGGTGAGGGCTGGGGCAGTGGTCCCGTCAGGGGCTAGCGTCCTCTTCCAAGCTCAGTTGTTGGCAGAATTCAGTTGCTTGCAGCTGCAGGAGCCATCATGGCACGCTTCTCCAAGGCCGGCAGGTGGATCTCTCCCAGGGAAGTTTCTGTTGGGGGCAAGTTGCTCAGCCAGGGACTGGACCCCTCTGGGTGCAGGAAATGGGAAGAACACATGGGTGGCAGCCGGTAGGTGGGACATGCTTTATTACGAACAAAGCAGCCCCAAACTGGCTGGTCAGTGGCACCTTATCTACCCGCTCAAACAAAGGTGCCAATGAGTGACCCTCATGCTACATTAACATGAGCAGGTTCCATAAGGGTGTGATTGTGCAGTTTCCATCATGCTACTGCTGAGTCATTGCCCTCGTGCATGCGGAGGGCAAAGGGGCCTTTCACACAGTCATACTGCCGCGTCCTTGCCTGCACGTGTGCATATGGTGAGTAGGCCTTGAGCCTCTGGCATACTCAGGGCCCCCAGAGTCTCTCTTAAAGGACTCATCCCATTAGTCAGAGCCACCAGGATTAGCTCCCTTTTGATTAACTCAAAGTTATACTAATTAGAAACTCTAAGGATACCTGCAAAACCTCTTCAATGCAACCTAATCATGACAGTGTTTGTCACATTCACCAGCCTCTCCCGGCTGAGGGATTAACAAGGGTGTAGCTCATTGGGTTACTTTAGAATGCCGCCTTCCCCAGCTGTGATCCTCGGCCTCCCACCGCCTGGGAGTGATGTCTACAGGTGAGCCTGTAGCACAATTCAGGTGGTCAGCTTGAACTCTGACCCCTATGGACTTCCCTATGGGTCCGCATGAGGTCAGCTGCTAGGTCGGAGAGCAGGGGTGGTGAGCAGAGGGACAGGCAGCAACCTCAGGTACTTCGGCTCTCTTCTTAGCACAAGCCCCTCATGTCCCCCACGGTCATCCCTGTCTTCTTGGTCTCACCCTTTTCTTGTCCTAAGTTCCTGTTCCTGTCACCGGCTCTTATCTGTTTTCTCTTTTTCCTTTCACATGTTCAGGGGAGCGATTGTTCTCCTTTCATTCATTCATTGGAGATGTACTGAGGGATCTTTGCAAGTCACATTGGCAAGTGCCCTGGTGGACATGCAGGTTTGCAAACTCATAAGATAGGACCATGGTTAAGAGAAAATGTGGGGAGACGTGTATGCAGCAAACTCAACAGACAGCACATAGCTTGTCCAAATGGGCCGCCATGACCCAGCTCTAGCTGACTAGAGCCATTTGGGAGGGACAACACTTGTTGCCATTCCCTCCAGTTGTTCAAATGAACTGGAAATCCAGGTTATAGTGCTCAATGGATGGATTTTTTAAAAATATGAGCAACTATCCATAATTTTAAAGTAAGTTTTAAAATTGTGTGAGTCAACCAGGGGCAGATCTCGGTTGTGGGACCTGAGTCTTATACAGTTTGGAGGCCTTTTAAAAAACAAGTGCAAAGTTAGAAATGTGATGGCAGTGTAAGTGTTCCTATTGCCTCGGATTGAGAAATGGAAC